TGTTCTATTTTTTGTTTTCTTTCGTCAACCGATACATATATTTTCCAAAAACAATAGAGTCATTAATGTTGTATATGTATTTATACACAATAAGTCGCAGTAGAGGAGCATCTCACACCAACTGCACACACAGTTCTGGCCTCTATACTTGATACACCATCACCAATTGCACTTGAGAAACAAAACAAAAAATGAGCAAAAAGATCCATCAACTTTGATCTCCAACCAAGTGGAACAACTAATGCAGAAGAAGTTGAAGGCGGTGATCCAGAACAAGGATCGGCAAGTGGATGTTCGACGAAACGGCAGAAAAAACATCCATGAGGCCAGGCCTCCAAAATAACCCTTCTTTTCCGAGCCACATCTTGGGACAGCCATAACAGCTTAAGCTCTCGTGCATCATCCGTTTTGTTAAGAGCCAATCTTTTGTGTGCATACTTTCCTCATAATTGCCTTGTGGACTTTGCTATTAATATTTACTAAGTTTGGATGTTGGTTCTAACTTAGTAAATATTAGTGTTGATGTTCTGAGATATTGGCTATTGCAATTAAGGATGCCTTGAACATTGCATGAAAAACTTGTATCTCATATTTTGTACTACTCCCAGTTAATATAATGAATGTGGCTTAATATAAGGTGTTCATACATTTTACAGTACAATTTGTAACCCGCATTCATGCTGGTTACCCTGTCCATCAGAAATGGTCGCCCATTCGTTTGCACCTATTTTTTACATTTTTACATTTTTTATTCTCTTATGTTTTCAATCTAATTTTCTATATTATTCAATGCTATGCTTTTTTCTAATGTGATAGTTCTCATATTATTCATTGCATATACTGAGAAATTAATAATTGTGTGCACTAAAACAATAATATAACACTTTCACACAACTTTAAGCAACAAGTAATATCTCATTGAAAAACAATTGTCTACATAACGCTAAAAATTACAAATCACAGAATAGCCATTTCAAAACAAACACAAAAATAAGGACACGTAGTGAATGAGCATGCTGAACCTTCAAAAATTCCAGTAAAATCAACAAAATCTCTAGCCTGCATATTCTGCATCAACACTTTGCCATGCCAAGCAACAAATTCAACTTCGTACGGGATATCTTCAGATATCAACAGGCAACGACTCAAATCCTCGAATTCATTGACCACATGTGAATGCCAAAATTGAATCGGAATGGGCTGCATTTAAAACATGTTCTCAGGGTAATATGGTTGAGTAAAAAATCAATGCAAATGTAAAATATAAAAATCACAGTAATTATTCTATTACCAAATATGCACGTTCGATGTACGCCTTCTTGATCTCTAAAGTAAAACGATATCGCAAAGGCCGCTCAACTGCATTTTCCTCAACCACAGTCACCACATAATCTATAAGACTATTACGATCAAACCAAAGATAATATTCGGTCTTAATATTCTCCGCCGCCATAAAATGTAACCACCAATTATCAAAGAATATCTGCTCAACATTCCCTCTTATCTCACCCCATATGTACGACCATCTCTCGTACTTAACGTACACTCAAGAGGTACGACATGCATATACTCATGGACACCAACGGATGGAAGTCTCTATGATATAATAAAAAAAAATAGTTCATTAGGTACATATTTTTAGGTAAATATTCATTTCAACTACAGTTAATTGCGTAAATGAATTTGACAATACATTACCCTTGTTCGTTCATCCGAGTTAAAAATGACGACGATAAAACTTTTAAAATGAGCAGGCATGATCAATAACCTATACACTTAACACACAAATACATTATCTCTAAATGAAGAAAAAAAAATTACAAAAAAAAAAAAAAAAAAAAAANTACAAAAAAAAAAGTTATACAAACACATTGTACCAAAAGGTAATACCACCTTCAAGCCTGGAACAAAAAAATACAAATACTTTTTTACAAAGATCAAGAAATTATACTTTCCTTCCCATGAACATGAAACCAAAAATAAAAAACAAACCCAAGCACCATTTTCGTTTCTTCAGACCACACATCTATACACAATTTCTAAACACTTTCATTATCAATCATTTACACTTTATTATCAATAAAATTCAATTAACATATTTTTTAACTTTAAATTAGTACAGCCCGAAAATCCATCGACCCCCAAATTTGTAACAAATTTTAAGCAACAATATTAACTATAATTAAACCGACTATTGAAATTTCAAGCACAACCAAGAAACATAAAATCGAAAAAAGGTTAAAACCTTGGGATCACAACCAGCTTCGTAAATATAAGAACAATGAATCCTTTCTGCTCTTTTTTTCTTGCCAGAGATGCGGGCAGCGCAATTGAAGACNATCTTTAATCTTAATTAAAGATTAAATAAAGATAATGACCTATAATTTATGAAACTAACTTTGAAAATTAATTAGTCAAAATCTTATCTCCCATAAAATAAAATCTCCTTTCTCATGTAGGCTTTTAATATATAATCATATTAAAATTTTGGGTTTGAATTTTAAAGTCCAACTTTAAAATCCAACTATTAATTTAGTAATTCAAATACTTACTTAATTAATATCCAAAGCCTAATTAATCAATCGAATTGATTAATTTATTTTATTCCTTTAATTTATTTTCGGAACGATAGAGGCATTATATATAACTCAAAAAGGCGAACAACGTTCAAATACAAATCTTGACCAACGGCCAAATGAAAGAAGCTAACCTAGCCGAAAGGAAAAGTGAGAGGACACGCATAAAGCGGCCTAGAATCAACTCAACCAAAGCAAACAAGAAGATGGAATGCAAACCACTGCACAAAGGCCTAGCCAACATTCCATCTTCACTATCTAGCAAACAAGAAATTAAGAAACCGAAAATACAATCAAACAAGAAGCAACTGTCAACATTCAAAACTAATAAACCAAAGCAGAAAGAACTAGCAGCTAATATTTGACAGACTTGAACTCTGTCCAATCCTTTTGTGCCTTCTGATGAGCACTTGTTCTGGCATCCTTGTCTTCTCAAACACCCATAAATTCCTGCTTTTCCAAAACCAGTAGAAGATATAAGTTGTTAGTTGTATTTTGTCCTCAGCCACTTGATCTTTATTAATTGAGCAGATATGCCTCCACTAGATTCTGAAAGGGCATCTTTCAATGTCCCTTCCATCCCACTGAACAGGTCTAATTCTCCACACATGCTTTGCTCTTGGGCATTGAAATAGCATATGCTCAATGGTTTCAGGTTCTTCACCACAGCTAGGACAATAAACATCCACAACAAGGCCTTTTTTAATCAAGTTTGTGTTAACAGGGAGAGTACCTGTGATGCACTTCAAAAGAAAGTGTTTGATGGTTCCCTTGATTTGAGATTCCATCCTCTTAGTCCAGCAATCTTTATTGCCTTTGGGTTCTGACTTGTACTTGGGATATCAAGGAGAAGGATCTTTTGTTTAATCAGGTGGAGGTAAGTAGATGCCACTGTGAATTTGCCTTTCTTGTCCAAGCACCAGTAGTGTCTGTCAGATTTTGTGGGATGCAATGTGTTAATGCTCAGGATTGCTTGACTGTCAGCTGCATTGAACAATTGCCTCACAAGCCAAGTGTTCCACTCAGTCCCATTCTCAAGAATCAGCTCTTTCACCCAAGTTATGTGTCCATGTGCAATTTCCAGAAGTTTTGGTTTTTGGCAGGGAAAGGCAGGTATCCAAATGAAGTCATCAATTTTTGTAGAAGCCCATTTCTGATCTCAGTTCTAATTCCCTGGATGAATATAGGCAAGCACTCCAACCATGTGTTCCAAATCCATAAACCATTCTAAGTTTTAGAAGCTTCAAATATGGAGTTGGTAGGGAAAAATCTATCTTTTAGTACCCTACTTATCAGAAGGTGAGGCTGAGTGACAAGTTTCCAAAGTTGTTTGCATATGAGTGCTTGGTTGAATAAAAACACATCTTTGAAGGCTATGCCCCCTTCCTCTTTTGGTAAAGTTAGGAATTGTCATGCCTTCCAGTGAATGCTCTTTTCCTTGGAATCTCCTTTACACCACCAGAATTGTGCAATAAGACTTGAGATTGCTTTGCAGATTGACACTGGGAGTTTGAAGCATGACATAGTGAACACAGAAAGGGCATTGAGCACTGCTTTAATTAGCACTTCCTTGCCAGCAATTGATATCATTTTGTTCTTCCAGCTTTATAGCTTAGACTTGACTGAAGCAACCACATGAGAAAAAACCTCTAATTTGGACTTGCCTATCCCTAAAGGAAGGCCTAAGTATCTTGTGGATGAGTGTGTCTGGATACCTTGCATTACAACACAAATATGAGATTAAAGTTGAGAAGGGGTGTTTTTACTGAAAAAAGCTAAAGACTTCTGGAGATTCACTCTTTGCCCTGTAAACATTCTGTATTTTTCCATCAGTCCCATTAATTCATGAGCCTGTCCAATATCTGCTTTGCAAAAGAATAAAGCATCATCTGCAAAGAAGAGGTGAGAAAGAGCAGGCCCATTTCTAGAAAGCTTTAGCCCTGTCAGCTTGCCACAGTGAATAGAATCAGAGATAAGAGCAGAAAGAAGTTCTGTGACAATAATGAAAAAATAGGGGGATAGAGGATCCCCCTGTCTTATTCCTCTTGAAGGATAGATTATGCCACTCAAAGCTCCATTTATGCAAAAAGAATAACTGGTAGAGGAAACACAAACCATCAATAGCTTCACAAAAGCAGAACAAAACCCCATTTTGATCATGATTTTTCAATGCATATCCACTCGGCTCTGTTAAAAGCTTTCATTAAGTCCAGTTTTAGAGCCATAAATCTATTTTTTCCAGTTTTGTGCCTGTTCAGGTAATGAAATACCTCCTGTGCAAGTACTACATTGTCAAGCAATTGTCTGTTCTGAATAAATGCATGTTGGCAATTACTGATACAAGAATTCAAACAAACTTTTACTCACAGCCAGAAGTTTGGAGACCATTTTATATACCACACTACATAATGAAATTGGTCTATACTGGTTCGGAGAAGAGGGGGACTAGCATTTAGAAATCAGAGTGATCAAAGTGTGATTCCAATATTGCAAGATCATGCTAGAGTAAAAAAAACTTTGCACTGCTTCAACAAGGTCAAAATGAATTAAATTCCAAAAGTGTTAATAGAAGAAGGCAGCCATACCATCCTCCCCGGGTGCCTTGTCAGGATGAAGACTGAAAAGAGTAGACTTGATTTTCTCTTTTTCCATAGGATGCGAGAGGGTTTGATTCGTATCCTCAGTGATGGTCTGAGGGATAAGTGCAATAAGGATTCTCCCCCCCCAAGAACCTTCAGAGGTGAATAAAGAAGAGTAAAAGTTGGTGATGTGGTTTTCAATTTCTTCTCTTGTGTTGCATTCTTCATTTCTGTTGGTAATGAGTCTGGTGATGGCATTTTGCCTTCTTCTTTGGATCATGTAGGCATGGTGAACTTTGAGTTAGTATCTTCTTCCTATAACCATTGATGCCTTGTTTTCTGAGCCCAGAAAGCTTCTTCAAAAGCATGTGCTGCAATGAGTTCATCTTTAGTTGAGTCCCATTCTGCCCAGTGTTCTCCTCTGCCATTATCTCTCAGATGCTCCAACTTAACTGTCAACTGCAATTTTCTCTTGGTTCTGGGATTTGAATTTAGAGCTTCAAATGAGCAATGCCAGCCTAGTTTGCTTCACCTTCTCTTTGATTCTGAAAAAAAAGTGTGCCCAAGTGTGCACACTCCAAGCAGTCTGAACAACCTCTTCAAAACCCTCTTTATGGATCCATCTCCTATCGAACTTGAATCTCCTTTTGTGTTTGTGAGAGGTTTCTCCTGTGTTGAGGATGATGAGAGAGTGATCTGATGCACTTTTTTTTGTGAAAGAATTACTTCATAAAGGTCGGTTTTCAAACATTCGATATTTAAATTTTATTAAGTTCTAATTAATGATTTTTTTAATAAAATATTTGACATGTTGGCTATCAAATTTTGTAATAGGAAGAGTATATTAATTTAATTTTATTTTCAAAAAATTTATTCGAAAATGATATCTTAGATTTAATAGTGTCTCATAAGTAGTACCAAAATAAAATAATTATTTTTTAATTATTAAATCTTGTTAACATTCAATAGCGGATGTTTTTTTCGCAACTCAATTTGAAATGTAACTTATGATATATTTAAGGACATAGCCATAACGTATATAATTTACAGTTCAATTTTAAATACAATTATGCACAAAGATGAAAAAAATACATATGATAAAATGTTAGATATATGAATTTTATGAATTGGAATCAGTTCTTGTTCGGTTCTTCGATTCGGTACGGTTCTTTTCGATTCGGTTCGATTCTCGGTACGAATATTTTATAAATCTCCAAAACCGTACGAAAAAAAATTCGATACGGTTCAGTACGGAGATAGTCAAACGGTCAACGGTTATTTTTCGGTTCGGTTTTCGG